TTACGCCCTCCTCATTTCCCTTAAAAATTTTCAACGAAATCTTTTAATTGATCGCATATAAATTCACTAGCAGTACTTGTTTAAAACACGTAATGCAGCCACTCACCTTAATCAACTTACTGTTATCTAATTACTACCTCAATATCAAGCATTTACCTCAACATTTGCGCGTTTTTTCATTCTTATGCGGGCATGTAAGGGATTTTAAGAAATGTACGAGGGATAGATGGCGCTTCGAAAATTTGCTGGAATTTAAAATAGCTCTGTAATTTAGGTTAAGAAATATTTCCACTTGTTGCTAAGGATAAATGATTTTTCATTAATTGCGAATTTACCTTATTAATTCATATTAATTTTTCAATAAATATGAAAAAATACAAAACAACGAAAATATAAAATTGCAGTTATAGATACAATTAAAAATAAATAAAAATTTAAAATGGTATATTTGTGCTTAAAATTGTGATGCAAAATTATAATATAATAAAAACGCAAACAAATGGTACAAAATAAAAAATGGTGCAAACATCTAAAACTTGATGAGTGTTCCTTTAAACTGTCGTTTTATATATGATGGGTACCGCTGAAAAAATTTTAATATATTGGGACTTTTCTATAGCGCGAGAATCCTTTTATTAATCAACAGTTGACCAATTATCAATTTCTTCAGAACGATATATTATTTTTGCAGACATAAAAGAACAAGAAGAGTGGGACAAATGTTTTTCTGATGTAGTAGATACTGTTTATGAATTTATATACGATGATCGCTTCGACATTCGCGCAATATTTCTATTAAATTTTAACAATAGAAAACTAGGTTATTATTATCCGGCAGAATGGAACAAAAATATTAAAGGAGATATAATTTGCAAGATATTCCGTTCATTCTATGTTTTTCCAACCTCGTTAAATAGAGGTAAGAATTTTTTTTTTTCTTCGTTTACTTTTTTTTGCAGGCAACAGCCATAAATATAGCCTAAAACGTATAAAATATACAAACAAATTGTAGATATTTAACCTTTTCACCTATATAGGTCTAGAGCAATATGTTAAAATTACCACTAGGTATAACACTATTTTAGATATTGTGTTAGCTGCTTCTAATTCTTTTGTTGATAACATTAGAGTCTTGGAGACCTTTTGTAATAGTGATCAAATTTGAAGAGGACTTTCTAAACCTTTGTATCTATATAGGTATAGAGCAACATGTTATGATTACCACTAGATATAACACTACTTTAGATGTTGTGTTAGCTACTTAGTTACAAACAAATATTTGCTATTTGTGAGCATTTATACGTATGGAATGACTAAAAAAAAACTAATTCACCATAAATAGATAAATTCACCATAACGAATAATTCAAGCCCATATTGCAAAAAATTTGTTTGTAAAACTGGCTTATTCATGCGGTTGAAATTATCCATTACGATGGCTTCTTTTCGAGAGGCAATTTTATATTTTTATTATGCACTAAATAGGAATACACTATTCTCAACTTTTGAGGAGTGATCGCAACTGCAATCATGCATTGTAATTAATACTATTTTAATATTACCTTATTTCTTCGTTAAAGGTCTAAGCTCTTCAAAATTTCGAATTATTTGCATATTCCTACCTCATTTGTAAAGCGAAAACGTTAATGTAATGAATAACATGAAGTAGCATCGCTTTAATCCCCTTTGGCAACCTATGCATTATTCTCTTATGGTTTATGCTGAGGCCACTTGTAGGAATGTCATTGAGGTCCAACTATATTAATCTTCGCAGAGCCTTTAATATCCTTTGGTAGTCAAGATCCTATCTCGGCAATCTCCATCAAAATTTGCTCCAAAATCTTCTTTTAATAGTTTCGTCCATACTAATTAGATTGCTTCGGATACCTCTAAATAAATTCCTCTGCGTAAGAAGGAAAATCCATCAGCTCCGCATTCTTATTAAAAAATTAAGAAAATTGAAAAAAATGACAGGCCGTTCATCATTTTGAATGTCTGTTTGCTTCACCGATATACTCTAGTGCGGTTCTTTTATATGAATAAAGCAAAAATGATGAAATGATGCTAAGAGGAATCAGACTTGTACTGATAACAGGGAGTTGGAAGAAGAAATCTGAATATGCATTTTCGCAAATTTAATTAAACAACGTAGATTAAATTAAATTTAAATTTATAAAATATAAAGAAAAATTCACGAGGAATTGTTTCTTAGAACAGTTTCTTAGAATACCTAGGCCATCTCAAGACTCTGTTAGAGGTTTTGCAAAAGAATAAGATCCTGTGAGATTTCCTAGCCAAAATAGATAAATAAATATTGAATAATTAAATTAACAGTAGTCGACAAGAGACAGAATATAAAAGTGGTGACAGATGCAGCAATATCTAATGGCAAGAACATCAGGAAATATGGATATTCTGTCCAGAAGGAACTGTTAAGGTGCTGCAGAGCAGTCGTCTCAAACCACATTTTTAACCACCTCTCAGACCCCAAATCTCTTAATATCAATTACTCATCTTCTTAATTTTTGACTAGTTTAAAACCTGCAAAGGATAGCATGAAGATGATTAGCAGAATCGACGGAGCATAACGTGGATTCGGTGATGCTGAAGGACAAATGTGGAGATTTAACGCGTGTAGGAAGGCTAGAGAGGATTTTAAGGAAATCTAATGGGTTTTGAGATGTTAGGCAAATGCAGTGAATTATTTAAAGATAATTCTGCTCGTTCATAAGATGGAAATGATATAAATTTATCGGCAAAATAAATTTTTTTTTAGTTGGAACTGTCAAGAGAATATCACTAGAAAAAATACGCCGCAATGTGGTTATAAATGGCTACCACCCTTCTGTATTTGCAACATCTACGGGTCTCATTTCATGCAACAGTAAAGCAGTCATAATAATCTATACGATCGGATTTCAAGGAAGTATGCAAAATTTTCGATTTTAATTTTTCATTTTTAATCGTAGGATGAAAATAAATATAGAATAAAAAAAATATAAGGAGGAAAGGATTAATGAGCGATGAGGAACGAATTTATTCATTTATAGAGCCTTTTTAAAGACGTTTAATAAGCTAATTCCTCGGTATTTGCCACAGTATGTCCTTCTTCAGTATTGCATTGCTTTGTTCCATTCCCCTTTCTTAAATACCTTATAGAAAATCGGTTAAAGGTAAGTTATGAAAGACAATGAAAGATAATATTTGAAAATTTTAGCCAAAACGCCACTTTGCCAGTAGTATTATTGGTACTACTGAATGTGGCGAATACTGTATTGGTGACTTTCAGTTATAAATAGCGAGCGTTATGTTCAGTTATGTTCGGAATGATAAGTGGCGCCTGGAGTTTGGTGCAAAAGAATTTCCTTTACCATAAAAAGTTGCCTTTTCTAACAGACATACCATCATTACCTCAGATTATTTTCTCATTGGCTGTTTTACGAATTATGGTTAATTTATGAAGGAGGCGGAATAATTTCCTATTATATCCTACTGTATCTAGTGTAATAACCTTCCATGTTCAAAGCGATGCCAGTAGTTCCACTCTCAGCATTTTTCTACGTCATTAAAATGTTTGAATCATAGACTAGAAATCTTTTCGGACCATTATTTCTAGCAAATAGCGCACTTCCGAAAGGCATATCCTAGCAAGATTTGGGAGATAAGGCTTCTATTGGGATTAATGTTCATTATCGTCTCAGATTTATATCACTGAGCTCTGGTTTTCTAAGAGTTCGCATAGTTCGCATCACTACTGAGTATCTAATTTGTCGGACTAGACAAATTTTGCCAGGAAGTTGATGCAAGTATCAGCAGCACCATCGGATTTTTGGAGGATTGTTTATTTCATTCTTGTCAGAATTGAACGCCAATCTACTAAGCTAGCCTATTCTCTAATATTAATATTAGTAATAATAATACTAATAATAGAAAAAATAATAACAAAAACAATAATAGCAATAATAATAATACTATGTTCATAAATGTAACATTGAAAATAAAAACAAACCCATCTATACTAATTTATAGATAATAAAAAAAAAGATTGAATGAAAATAGTGGAACCACACGTGTCTCATCCTCGATTACAATGAATCTCACACATTTAAATTAATAAACAATCAAAAATAAAAAGAAACAAAATTAAGTTAAGTAAAAAATTAAAGTAAGGGAAGATTTGATTTAATGGACAAGCAAAAATAATATAATGCGAAAGTTAGATTCAAATTTGCCAGAAAAAATTAAAAAATTGGCAATCTTTTTAACATGGGAAATATTTATTTTTGTGAATATCGTTGTGAAATAAGGAGCTTTTATGTGTTGAGACACTACAATCCTAGGTTATTTTTATTTTAAAAGCATTGGAACTTTATCTGGAGGGTTGAAAAGAAAAATTGAAAAAATGTTAAACAAAATTTACTAAGGCGGCAGAGAGAGGATCCAATGTTAAATTTGATGCTTCAAGAAGAGAAGGAGAGGGCTTAGATTATCAGTTTATCTCACGAGTATGGAACTACATGACTTATAAGACTTGAGAGCATAATGCTTTTAATCTTAGTGAAAAATTATTAATATAATACTGATTAATACTGATTATTAATACTGATTAGTGCTAAAATTTAGCAGCATCAATAAAATTGTGTTAAAGAACAATAATCCTTCAAATCTATCACGATTTTTTTGATATGCAATTGTGAACCTAGTTGCTATTAAATATATTGAGATTATCTGTAATTAAATCAGAATTAAATAATTGCAAGTTTTGCATCAAGTTAGAAAATTTAGATCAAATTTCAGTAAGCAACCAGTGTATAACAACATTTAAAGAGAATTAAAGAGAATTTTTAGGAGGAACGAAGATTTTGAGATTCAGAAATTGTTGTTTATTTCAAAATTTTTTATTTATTATTTATTGCTAATTTATTCAGAAAGAATGATATAAGATTATAATATAAGGTTATAATTATAAGAACGATTAATAGCGAAAAAATTAACTTCTATTCAGATTAAGAAAATTATGTTGGATGTAATATATAAATATATAACAAGCAATAGAAATCCATTTAATGCAGGATTGAAATGGAATACAACAACAACAACAACGACGACTACGACAACCACCACAACAACGACAACTACCACAACAACGACAACTACCACAACAACGACAACTACCACAACAACAACAACTACCACAACAACGACAACTACCACAACGACGACAACCACCACAACGACGACAACCACCACAACAACACCAACAACAACCACAACAACCACAACGACAACACCAACCACAACAACCACAACAACCACGACAACAACAACAACCACGACAACAACAACAACCACGACAACAACAACAACAACCACAACAACCACAACAACAACAACAACCACAACAACGACAACAACGCCAACAACAACTACAACAACGACAACAACCACAACGACAACAACACCAACAACGACAACAACCACAACGACAACAACACCAACCACAACAACCACAACAACAACAACAACAACAACGACAACCACAACAACCACAACAACCACAACAACCACAACAACCACGACAACAACAACAACAACGACAACAACACCAACAACAACCACAACAACCACAACAACGCCAACAACAACCACAACAACCACAACAACAACAACAACGACAACCACGACAACAACAACAACAACGACAACAACACCAACAACAACGACAACAACCACAACGACAACAACACCAACAACGACAACAACAACAACCACAACGACAACAACAACAACCACAACAACGACAACGACTACAACAACCACAACAACAACAACAACACCAACAACAACCACAACAACACCAACAACAACCACAACAACACCAATAACTACCACAACAACAACAGCATCAGTAACAACCACAGCGCCAATTCTTAGAGAAACAATTATAATAACAACCATGCCAACTTCCTCAAACAGCACAACAATATACGCGCCAATATTTACCGCAAGCACAAGAGGAATGATAAGGAGGCTGTTTTTAATAAAAATCCCATCCTCTATTTTTCTTTTTCCTTTTTTCTATTTATTGTGCGCGATTTTTGCAGTTATTGTAATTATTATTACTATTGTCATTTATTCATTTTATGAAACCGTTTATTCAAAAGACATCGTTTGATTAATTTTCCACTGTTGCCTCATTAAATGATTTCAGTAGCAACTATAGAATTTAAAGTAGAACTTATCATTTATCATATGTTATTATTGCATTATCAGATCGCAATCATAAGCCTCAAATTCGCTTCTATTAGTTGATAATTAAAATATTACCTAGAAGAAGATTACCTAGAAGACTTAATTAAATATTTCGTCAAAATCATTCCGATATTTCCGCAATTGGCTAGCGGCATTGTGTGTAAAAAATAATTCAAAATTTTGCTAAGTTTTTGCATATCAAACCGTAATTACTCAATTTATTTCCTAAACAATGGCAATTTGCCGAGGTGGATGAATTTTAATTTTAAACAGGAGAATATTGAAAATGAAAAGAATGCGCCAGTTTGATGACTAAGATGATCCGAAATTAAGCAATAAATAAACCCTAAGGCTGTAAATGAGAAAACTGCTTAAAATATTATCATTTAATTTTAAGACTTTTTTTTAAAAAAGATATATTGATTGCTGAAAATTATTCGACGATAACTGAAGTTTTAAATTTCTCAAATTTTTTCCTTCATTTTTTAGCCAAATATGTGAAATTAAATATATATATATATATAAGCAGTGATTGTGAATCTTCCTTTAGCACCACATGCACATGCTACATACAATTTATGCTTTCAGACTGTTTAAATTTTTTTTTAGAGATATCACAAGCAAAGTGAGTGATAAGAATTCGAATGAATTTATATTTATATATTTTTAAATTCATATATTTAAATATATTTATATATATACAGAAACTAAGCGGAGCATATAGCTATACGCTTCAATTTACAAAATTACATAATAGTAAAAACAGTAAGAGAATGCTTATTGCTGGATAATGGTTAGGATTAGAACAAATATAAATATTGATAAAGGGTCTAAAAAGAGATTATTTCAAATTATTATCAAATGGCGAAATGCTGATTTCCAATTACCAACCTACCATACTTATAATATTATTTGAAATAAGGCACTTCCTCAACTGCCAATGAATTTATAAAAGAAGGCATTTTATCAGCTTCTTGCACATAAGACGAAAAGGCTTTCGTTTTATTTACACTGACCTTGAGTCAGATTCTCGCTACAGTTACTGACACGTTATTAAGCCATTATTCGCATTTCGTCGTCAGAAAAAAGGATACTTTATTCTATAAGAAAAAAAACGGTGAATCAGGACAAAATTGTTCGACAAAAGAAAACTTCCCAATATGAGGGACTTTCTACGAATATAACTCGCATTTTGATTTGTTTGATTTCGCTCTCTTACAACAGCGAAAAACTGGAATCCAAATGATTGTTGGATTATTGACTCACTTGTTGGCATTATTTTGCCATACTACATCCATAAAACTGCGATATAGCTGTTTTTTGTAGCCTGGCATGCGAAAAATATGCGAATGATACCCCGTCTCTGGAGCTCCACCGTGTTATTTTTATTTGGTAGAGCACCGGCAAAGTCGATAAAGCACGCAATGGCAATCTTCTATATTTGAAGCGATTTTTTAAAGCGATGGAATTTTTTAATATTTTCTTCTTTTAGGTAAAAAATTATTCGAAAGCAGTTTTAAAAAATTTTGTGATAGAGAAATTGTTAAATTTATTTGTCCAAGCAAAATTATAAAAAATTTGTCCAAGCAAAATTATAAAAATTATAAAATTATAAAAAATTTAACTAATTAAAATACAAATAGCTATTAAGAAGATTCTTACACTATAAGTTATCTTCGAATAGCACCATTTTCAATTTCGCTATAATCTCTGAGATGACCTTTATTTTTACTTTACTTTAAACTTATATTTCCTCTGAATATCACTTCAAGTACTCCTGTACTGTTTTCAGAATTGTTCTCTCCTTAAACACCTCATCAACTCTTATTAGATTCTTTCAACATTCACATCAAACATCTTTATGAACTCTATTTTAGAAATAAAAGCTTATAATATTAACCCGAAGATTAAGGAAACATGGAAATGAAAACGGTGCCATGGAATACAACTGCATTTGAGGAAGTTTTGGGAATATATAGAGATTGCATTACAAACGAAGTATAGCGAAGAAATATATGGAGATTTCGAAACTATAAGGGGAATATCTCAGTGTATAAAGATTTTCAGGGATGTTTCAACATGCTTGAAATTGTGGCCTTCGCTACTATATTTTGAAGTTGGATTTTCTCAAGCTCTTGTATAATGATTGTCTATATTATTGCGAATGATTCTTATATTACAATGAAGAAAAAACGTGTGCTGATAAAGATGAAACTAACGTGGTGATTACTTATTTTTGAAATTTTTTTTGTATGATGACCTATGCAACACGACATTAATTGAGATTTTTAATTTCCTAAGAGCAACTCGGCGAAAACCTCCATGTTATATTACATAGTGAAACGAAAAATCATTAAAAATCTAAAAATCTTTATAAAACATTAATTTTTAAAGTATTTCAAAATTATATAAAATTAAACAATAAAATTCATGAAATATATTCAGCAATTAGCAAATAGTATAGAGAAATACAGTTGAAACAAATGAAGGGGGGCATACTTAGCGAAAAAAGGATCAAGAATGAGGATCTGGTTACAAGGAATATGAAAAGAACTAGAATAGTCGAACGACCATCGACCCGAACTAAGAGGAACCAATATGAAAAGAGAAATTTAAAAATATCGAAAAGAAAATAAGTTATAATTAAAGCACTTTTTTGTCATCTTGCGATTCAATTACATTGCTACTTGCAATTCGCACTTCTTCTTCACTACCTGGATCTTCTTCAGGCTCTGTATCACTTCGGCTATCACTTTCTACATCACTATCCCACTTGCGTCGAGCTAATTTCGTTTCTAGTTCATCCATAGTCATCAACTAAATAATGAACGAAAAGTCCTGTTCATAAATTTGTACAGTGAATAGATTTTTACAAAAATGAATGAATAAAATTAAGCGATTCTAGCAATTCAAAATTATAAAAAATTATATAAAACTAATTAAATTAATTAAAATTAATTAAATTAAATTAAATTAAATACAAAAAATTATACAAAAAATTTTTTTGGATTTTGAATGCATTTTTAAAATTGAAAATAAACAATTTTGAAGAGAAAATTTTTTTCAAATTACTATTAAAATTAATTATATTATATAAAAATGCTATATTGTTTAATATTCTTTATATTTTTGCTATTAATACAAGAGAAGAATTCTACTGCATTGTTAATCACTCATTTAATCACTCATTTTAAATAAATGTAACCTGCGGAACAAAGAATTCATTTTGGTGATCGAGTGGAAGTACCACATAAACATTTCCATTACTATAGAATTCAACAAACAAATTTATTTCCAATTTATGGATCTATAAAAAAGTCATGAAACAATTGATTATTTTCCTCATTCCATAAAAATATTCATAAAGAACTCTAATAATTGAAACAGAAAAGTTTAACAGTTAGAAAATTTTTGAAAGAAAATTTTTAAAAAATACCTTCACAAAAGTTTTCAATTTTGGATATAAAAAATTTTCGAGAGAAAACGTCGAAAAAATTCCATTAAATCTAAATTAACAAAGATGACAAAAAAAATGCAAGGACAAAAAAAAATGTTAAAACAAAAGAAAGGATATTTTGAATATTTCAGAAAAAATAGAATGCTGTAATTTGAGTAAAATCATAACCTTTGTCGTGCGACAACGGCTCGTTGCACTGGTTGTATAACCAATTTGTCGTAACCACAATTGGTCAATTGTACACCATATTTATCCTCATAAAGATTTCTATCATCCTCTGAAACTAATGTACTTAAAATATCAAAAATATTTATAATAAATATAAAAAATGAAATAAATGAATGACCAACAATGTTATTCAATTTTCCACCACTATTTCTGGTAGCTAAAAATATGATAATCAATCTTGAAAAAATTGCATTTTGACGTTTACGGTTATTTTAATATAATTAACATTAAAAAATTGAGAAAAATTGAGAAATTGAGAAAAATTGCTACAAAAATTGAGAAAACTAAAATTGGACAAAGATTAAATTTGTTAAATTTAACCTGTAAGGACCAATAATAATGCAATGAAAAATCTATTTACCACAAAATACTACTCCAACTGCCGACTGTAATAGTTCTTCCCTGGTCTCCTAAAACCTTTCTCTTCTACATATAATTTTTGAACGCTTTAATATCATATAAAGCAATACCTTTTAAATTTTTTTATAAGTTATAGTCCACGAAAGCAATATAGTCAAAAAAGTTTTTAAACGCGCATACGTGAACCACCAATAGACTTAGATGATGGCAAAAGGAATGGCTTCTATTATTGTCAGTGATGAGATCGAATAGCTTGGAAATGTCTTATCTTTGTAGCCAGAGAAGCCAATCCAATCGGTAATGAAAAAATTCCTGTTTTTTAATATGCTCCTCTAAATTTTTTGCCAAACAGCTATGCAAAATGTAAAATATATAAAACTTAAATAAGAATGTAGTTACGCAAACCAAAAAGGCTCTCTTGGAAGGCTTAATCATGATACTTATTCGCCACAATAACGATAATTCGGTTATACTTTACCTTAATAATAAGAATCAAGAAAGAAAAAAACTGACTTCTGGATCATCATAATAAATTCCGAATGTTGTTGCTTCTCCAGGCATCAAACGAGCAACTTCCACTAATACACCACTTCCACGTTTGTAACGACCAATGCAATATTTATAATAAACAGTAAGAGACTTTGAAATAAAGGGAGGATCTTCAACGATTGAAACCTATAAAAATTTATAAATTTATAAATTTATTTATTAATTTATAAATTTTGAATTTTAAAAATATTTAAGAACGAATTTCTTTTGCGAAGGGAAAACAGGTAATCAAAGTTAAAATTTCCAAAGAATCAAAAATATTATGTATTATGTAAATTATTAAAATTAAATATCGGATTCAAATTCATTGAATTCGACAAAGTTATAAAACTTCTGAAATTTGTGATTGATAAAAATTTCCAATTTATAGTTAAAAATGACTTAAAAATTTCTGAAAAATAAATAAAATTATTTGAGTTTAAAATAATATAAGCAAAACGAACTTCAATATTATCGAAAAATCCTGATCGATACAGTTTCCATATAAAAAAAACTAACGCAATCAACGAAAATGGAAAAATATAAGCCAGCTCCATTTATCTGAGAAAAAAATGAAAAACTAGAAAAAAATTTAAATTTAAGAGGAAATTACATAATTAAAATAATAAGTTCCCAATCGAAAATAATAATAAAATAATAATACCTAAATTGCTAATTATATAAAATCATGGTGCTCCATTCAATTATGTCAGGTCCACGGAGCAGTAAATTGCCTATATAATATTGAGTATATTTTGATATTTTTAAATATATTATATATTATAATAAATATACATTTATTCAAATATACTTTCGACGAATCTGGTAATTTTCACTACAAAAAATTGTGAAAAAAAATCTCTTTGTCATCCCCTGCAGATGGCAAAGATCCTCAACCTAGGGTCATCTATGAGAAGCTTAAGAGAATAGGGGTTCTGTGCAGTATTTTGGTTGTTCCTAGCAATCTGCTCTTATGGATAGAGGTAATGATAATGATGATAATGTCTCTGATGATAATTTATGAATGTATATATAAATAATAAATAAATAATAATTGCTATTTATAAATTCATAAATAGCAAAAAAAAAACTGTCAAAAAACAAACACGATTCGCAAATGAAATAATAAATAAATTTATCATTAATAATATTAATATTTCTTATCAAATAAATAAAAAAATGACTCAAAATAAAGAGAAAAAATATTAATTTATTTTATGTATTTTATATATTTTTATATATTTTAGAGAATTCTTTATTTTAAAAAAATAATCAAAAATTTTTAACTAAAATGAATAATAAAAGAAAATTTCGAAGAAATACCAGTTTTGAAACGATTATTGTTTCGTTGAATCGTTTTTCGTCTCACTTCTTCGAAATTTTTATTTTTATTTATAAAATCTGTAAAATTATAAAAATAAATAAATTTCTTTTTCTCATATTGTTTTTCATTTTTCCTGATTGTAATATGTTGAAAGAAAAAAAAAAAGAAATACAAAAGATTCGAAATACGATAAAGAAATCGCCATTATCTTTTACAATAAATATTATCACCATTATCTATTGTAATAATCAATTATCATTATTATCAAATCTGCAGCAAACAAAATCCAAAATACAATTTGAATAGTTTGTAAAAAATAAATAAAATCAATAAAAAAAGTTAGTTTCAATAAAAATAGTAAAAATATAAAATACAAATATAAAATAGTAAAAAATAAAAATAAAAACAATATAAATGATAAATGCAATAAAGAGATATTTCATTAATAATATTACAAAAATAACAAAAATACAAAAATCTTAGAAAATAAAAATGAAATCAGCAGTTACGATTAATTAGTTGAACTTCTAATATTTGCGAGAGAATATCTAACTGAATCTGATTATAGATGGTACCACCACCTGGATTTAATTTTTTATAACGGATTTACTCTAGTCAAGGGACACAAAATCGGTATAAGGAGATTAAACGCGTATAAAAATAACCATTGAAATTGCTAAGTCCCGGCAGTGGTGTCTTAGTTGCGAGAATGATTACAACCCAAAAAGACCGGATTGCAGTCCCCCTGAGAAAGCCCGGAAATCCCGGATGATGCTGGTGATTCATTTACCCCCAGGCGATCCCTAACGAAATTTGCCCGACACGCCAGTCCAACTAGCCAGAGAAGCTTTCAGAAGAAAACAAAATACGTGCAAGCAAGCAAGAAAAATAAACATGAATACGATTTGAAGCCCATAGCTTTCTAAATTACGGCCCCGCTGGTAAGCACTTTCCTTACTCAATTGAAGAGGTGTCATGAAGTCTCTATAGTTGTTCCACCTTTCCTCCAATCTCTGTGGTACCCCATTCAGTACCCCCATTCACCTCGCCGTCATATCATTCTTTATCTTTCGAAATTTCGTCATTTAATTATTAATCAAATGTTTTATTGCCGAAATAATAATTGAATTACACTCATCTATGGTACCGGTTCGCCGAGTGGATAAAATCTCACTTGATAGCATCCACCTTCATTCAAATAGTTGTATTAAAAGTACCATTATAGCATCACCTTCGCTGGTTCGGGCACGTCGCTATCCACACGAGTTGACGCATATTTCGTTACTTGCTAAGCCCTGTGATAGGGTGTCGTCAAAAACGAAGTGGGCCAACCAAGAGACCTGGATTGATACGGTGAGAAAAGATTTTGAACATACCCGGTGAACCCGCAACATACGGATTTAGACGATGGAAAAAGGAATGGCTTCTATTATTGTCGACGATGGCATCAGATGGCGCTGCTTAAATTTTATACAAATGCACTCAGAGAATATTACAGTTCACATAACTCAGTCGATTTTTACAGCTTTCCATCGGTTCTTTCAATTGTGGATGGATTTATAGCTAATAAATTTATGTATTATTAAGGTACTTATGATATTTAACAATATGTTAGATATTTTCATCCATTGTTTACCAGTTGATAATAATTCACTATCATTATTAATTTTGCATTTCCGATTCTTTTTATGTTTGAAAGCTGAATTAGTAGATGACTTGAAAGCTGAATTAGTAGATGGCAATCGTTCAAGAACCGGGTCGTTAATTATGGACTTCTTCACTGATTCATTGGATAGGTCACAACTCAGTTATTTGTATCATGAACTGACACCCAACTTATTACAATTTCGAATCATTGCGAAGTTGAGAAAGGTGGAGTATTTAAAAAAATGGAATTTTCGTCATCCAGCGATAAGAATTAGCCTTTGCATAACAGTAACAGTAATAATCCTCTGATTTAAGGTGGTTAAGCATAAAAATATTTTAACATAAATATTTTCATAAAATAAATGCTTAAAATATTTTATAATATTTTAAATATTAAAATATTTTATTTTATTTTATAAATATTTTAATATATTGTATAACTGTAATTAGCAAATAATTTCTGCGAAAATAAACTAGGATTTTTATTTTTCATTTTTTTATTTGATTTTGCTTAAAACTCAAATCAAAACAAAATAGATAATAGAAAAGAGATTAAAAAATTTATATCCACAATTTTCCATAATTTTACTTTATTTATCAAATAAATATAATCCTTCAACCAAATAAAAGCAATGCTTACATTTTTAAAATCTTCCAAATGGTTCTTTTTTCTCGCATGTAAAGAAAAAATTTTATTTTCCCTAGTCTCTGAAATATTTATAAATATTTCTTCAATAATACTACCATAAATCTCCACTTTGCAACCATATTAAAGGTTTGCAAAAGCCTAAAATTAAGTTTAAGTAATAATAAGTAAGTAATTAAAGTAATAATATGGCCATAAATAATTAAAATATTAATTTTATTAATTAATACTAATTAATTTTTCAATAATTATTTTATTTCATTTTAACAATTATTATAATCATTAATTTTTTCGTTACAAAAATATTTTTTAATGATAATAATACATCAAATTATCATTTCTTCTCATTTGCCAGCTGATAATAAGTCTAAGTCCTAAATTTTAAAATAAAATTGGCATCGTCTTGCTTGATATTCATCTCTTAAAATCCTTGCTGAATAACTAAAAATAGTCCTTAAATTATTTATAAAAGAAATGCACATAATTCTCTTAATTTGCCAATGCTATCAATTTTCATTAGTCGAAATTCTGTGATTTATCAAAATGTCTTATATAAATTTTTGAATTTCTTAATTTTTTTCTTAGAAAAAGGATAGATAAAATCCACCTAATTGCAGATTAGTACAATCTATATGGTATGGTGCAAACTGCAAATTTTATGAATAACCTGTAGCAATTTGCCTTAATTTGCAATTTTCCCTTCTAAACGAGAATACATATTACTGTTATTATTGTTATATACTGCTGTATACTTATATACATATATATACTATTATGCTTGTTATACTATTATATATATATATATATATAAGCTTTTCCCAGCTTTTGTCCACACAACAGATAGCAGATATCATATCATAACAGATTACATAATAGATCAGATTTTATTTCGATAACATACTCATAATTCATGGAATTCATGATTCATGATTCATGGAATTCGATCGGTCACTCTCCATGAGCGATTTTTCAATTGCATCTCATCTAATGGTTGATAAATTTACGTAATTCTCGAAAATCTTTCATTAATTATCCAAGAAATAATTTAATAATAATTTAATACAAAAGTGTAATACAAAAAATCCAAAAAAAAATGACTGACAGCGATCAAAAACAACGAAATTTCTAAATTTATGCTAAATTTCCTTTAATATTGCATAATATTAAATAATATAATACAATAATAATATATATATAATAACATTAAATATTTGCAAAATATTTTAAACATCATTACTTGATACTTCAATATTAAACGCCGTGAAAAATATAAAAAATATGAATAAATGTGAATTAAATAAATGGATCACTGAAATCTATGAGTTGCTTAAATAATTAAGGCAAAAAATAAAATTTATTTTAAAAAATTTATTATGAAAATTATGAAAAGTATTTTTAAAAAGTATTTTATATTCATTTCATTTCCACTTTTTATTTCTGTTTAACGTGAAATTTTCATTTAAATTTCACTAAATTAAATTTATAAAATTAAAAAATAAATAAATAATAAAATTACTAATAAAATTTATAAGCAAAATAAAGAAAAAGCAATACAATACGTGTAAATATTATTTTGTTTTAGAATTATGCTGGATTGTATGAGATATCACTGTTTAAATTTAAAATTATCAAAAATCAATTTAAAACCACCGAATGGTTCGTTCAGCTGAAACTGACTAGTAATATAAACTGACTAGTAACATAATAAACATAATAAAAATAATTTATACAAATTCATGGAGAAAAAAATAAATGGGTATATCATCAACTGATAAAATTTTCAAGTGTTCAGCTGATAATAGTGAGGTGATGAAGTTAGATTGATTATAAACACGAATTAAAATACTTCAAAGTAGCGTCTGATAGCACTAAATCGTCGTTTCCTTAACCTTGGTTCAGTTCTGGTTCTTCCATTTTATATGCACATACAAATAGTATTTCAGCTATTTGATTAAAACACACACAACGCCAGTGACAATTTGAACCAGAAATATATGAATTCATGAACATACAAGATTTTTTCAATTTTTAATCTTTTATGGATTATCAAATTTTGCCAAATTTTTACGATTGTGATAGTGTAGGCAAATCGCATAATAATAGGTGAGATCGAGCACTATACGAAAATGACTGAAGAGTACCAATCAGATTATTGATTATAATTAGTTCAAAAAAAAACAAAGCAGAAGCCATATGGTTGATTTAAAGAAATATCGATCACAAAAAAGAAACATGATAACATTCAGCACAATAATTTACCCATGATTGCCGTATTAAATTTTGCGAATATTTTTCAAGGATACAGAAAATATTTATTTTTCAAAAATAATAATAATAAAAATAATAATAAAGAGAAAATATTGCTGAGCTTCGCTAGTAATGCTCCGACTGGAATTTTCACTGGAGTGAATGGTGATGAAAATGGTGAACAATGTTCAAATTAGTGAGGGCAATGTTTGCCAAATTTTCCCCTATTTATATTTTAAAATTTTTCTTTTTTTTAAATATCAATATTAATATTTTTTCGATGCATCGAACAAATTTCTGGAAATTATCGATGATACTGGAGAATATCCAAAAACTATGAATATCAACAATGAATATGAATAAATTCCTATGAGAAAATACCTCCTCTACCATGATAAGAGGTTGTGATTATGACTGATAACTTTATCACTTACTAGATGCGACATTAAATGAATTAATTGTGTAAATGTGCAAAATAAATCACTTTACGATAGACATTAATTAATTTATTATTTCTGCTAATTAATACAACAAATAAGACAAACTATAAATTGTATAAAATTTCCGTTATTCAACCAAAAAATGTTTTAAGTACATTCATTGTTTATTCATTGTTAAATTTAATAGTACCAAAAGAAGTACCAACTGAAATTTTGTGAAAGATCATTTAGCAATATTAATAAATTTTTTTTTTAAATCAATTTTCACTCAATTTAACTTTTTAATAAAAATTATTTCATCAAAAAATTTCTTTTATTGGCAGTAGCTTTTATTTTTTATTCAAATATTAAGCGCAAATTAATTTTTTGAATAATAATTATTAATTTAATTCAAAATCAACAAATTTCCACAGATTAATAATTTAATAATAATTTTAATAATATTACAATAATAATTTAATATAATTTTAACAATAAATTTCTATGAAAAAATATCCTCTCTACCGTGAAAAGAGGTTGTGATTATGACTGATAACTTTATCACTCGCTGGCAATTGCTTGTTGCTAGCTACTATTTTTACTCCTTTTGATTCTATTTTTATAATATCCTACTTTTTAATGGTTAATTATCTTTTTTTTATTTGAGTTTGCATATATATCATATATCATATTTATAGATATATTTACATTCATAATTGTTTTTAATTTATAATTTAAATTTATGATTTATAAATTTTAGCTTTAAGAAGATATAAAACTAACAACAAATTTTGAAAAATAGTCTTCCATTTATGTTCTTAAATCTGCAGCCACTGGAATTATGCCTGTTCTTCGATTTGTTTTGCAAATGAAATTTAAATAAATTTTGTTAAAAAATCTTATCAATTCTTATCAAAAAAGATTTGGGTAAAATTTCAGAAAATTCCCACCTAAAAATATTGAAAATGACAAAAATTTTAAATTTATAAAAGCCATTTTTAAGAGCAATCCAGTTAAAATTCTTACTATTTAAAGGTTTTTTGATATAGTTTTCGAGCGAATTGCAAAATAATCGAACGATACTTCCGACTTAAAAGACAATATAAGCAGAAATTCAATGACGCATTGAGAAATACTAACTGAAATCGAATTTTGACAGGCAAAATTCAAATTGAAATTCAAAAATTGACGACTAATATTGTTTTCTTTTTTTACTCGATAAATCCCTTCCGTTGAACAAATAAAAACTGATTTGACCTGTTGAGTGATGCATGTATAGATGATAGCAATAGAATTATATTGCCCATAATATTTATATAATAAACGAGCCGGCGCTTGAGGTCCAACACATATCACTAATAATATTATCACAGCGAATAACATCGCATTTGCATTTGCATTATTTGTTTGTTTCCCAGCTATATCCTAAAAATTTTTGATTTTAATTTTATTGCAAATAGCCTTTCTTTTTTGATGATAAAAAAACTTATCAGCAAATCGTATTATTGTTGAATGTTAAGAAGAAAAAATACTCACATTCGTAAGATTATCATTGATATATAATGAAGTATTATCAGTAACAATAGAGAAAGAATTATTTTGATTACTCCGTCTGTTAATTTTTTTTAAAGTAATCACTATTCGAATATTTAATATACAAACAATTATGATCGATAATAAATTGAATATTAATAATGTTAATGAATCCATTATATTATAATAAAACTGAAATATTTATTAATTATTATTTTTTATTTTTTCCAAAATTTAGATTTAAAATATTTTAATAAATATTTTCTTTTTTTTAAATATTTTATTATTTTATAATCAACAACAAACAACCAATTGTGTTGAAAGAATAATCATTTCAGCAGAAATGAAAAATTCGCTTGATTATTAATCTGATTATTGAAATTTTAATAGCTATCAAATTTGAATTTGGAGGTGATTAGAGTATTTCAAACCAAAAGGCAAATGTCACCTCACTGGTACAAATATCACCTCTGGAACAAATATCATTCGAACATTCGTCGTTGTTTTTGAATATTATAGGCTATATATATATGTAATATATATATATATATATATATATAGAGTTTTAGTTGTGGCCTTACATGGTGGGAAAAAAAATGATTTCGGATTCAGCAACTATTTGAAAATCTTGGAAATAACTTCGCTATCAAAAGCAAACTAACAATAATAATATGTAAATAAATTTTATTAAATAAAATTGTGATAAATACGCATTTCTTTCGTCTTCTTCTAAGAATATTTTCACCATTTCTGGCCATATTCTCAGGCTTATCTCTTTAGCCAAACAAATCGATGTCGATGAAACAAATCACTTTGTGATAAAAGTAGAGTTGAGTGACCAGCATTACCCGATCTCATACATCCCCAAACATTTTTGCAATAGAAAAAATGAAAATTGCATCATCTGTTATCATTACCAATAATATTATTATTAATATTATTATTACTCTTTATTGATATTATTATCATTATACTATCAGTTATCAGTAAAATCAGTAATTTTTCTATTTTGAGGAAAAAGAAAAGAAACCTGCAAATATTTCGACCTACTAATAATAATATAATAAATCTCATGTTGTAATAAATAATCCCAACATTTTTCAATTTTATAACAAATAGGCCATTGTAAAGAAAATAATAACGATATTATAAAACTTAATATCAAGAATAGACGATTTGTATATTTCGCGTAGAATTTATATGAATAAAGCGGATAACATATGCAAATATAACGTTCTATATTGAAAGAAATTACGATTCTGTAAGTTTTTTAAGAAATTTTTTAAGAAAAGAAAAAGGAAAATGTTATGAATGAAATGAAAAAAATGATATTCATGAAATTCATCACATTCATGCAAAACTATTCAACGAGTTGTATTTGAATCGTGGAGACTCGTCTTTTAACGATTTACGGATTATAATGGCGATTCATTTGTACTTCTCCAGCCAAATAGGTCGTTGGCGAAAATTCACCTGGATGGGTGAGTGTTGAAGCGAACCAGGAAGAATGCTTCTTATAGGAATAGGTGGAAAATATTTCATTTTCACAAAAGATTCAAGGAGAAATTATTATTTTTTTATTTCAACGATTTAGAATTTTATCACTTTTTTTTTATTAAACTCAAAATTATAAAATATAAAAAAATTTCATGAAATTTCTTAAATTTATTAGAAATTTCTACCAAATTTTCCGACGGAAAGCAAAATTCCTTTTCATAAAACTGCATTTATAATATAAATCTATATGCACAGTCATCTTGTTCAGTTATTGTTTGTTTGTTCTAAAGACCTTCGCCATATTTTTATTATTATTATTAATTATTATTATATTTATTATTATTATTAATAAATGAAATGCTGAGATTCGACAAAATTTATTTCTCACTCTCAATCGTCAGTGTGTCCCAACTTGCCATTCACTCACCCATTTCGTTATAAACTGAGCACCACAATGTTGCGGTGGTGATTTTACGAAAATAAGCGCAACATTCTTATAAAAAAAAAAGACATACAAAATTGAAAATTTATAAAATGTCGATGCAATTGTTCGTATATATAAAGCAGAATGTATATACAATAAATTAAGCATTGATGTTGAAGTGATAAAATTGGACAAATTTAGTGGTGTAACTTCGATAGTAGCGAATAGTAAAAATAAACAATCACATATCGCCAAAGCAAGTAATAAATTTCTTTAAATTATCAAAAAGCATAAATATCCAACCAAAGTGGAAGCCAAAAGGCCTTGGACAACCATAAAATAACCATAAATTTTGTTTTCATTTTTAATAAAAAAAAAGTAAATATTTCAATAAAAAATAAAATATTTTATAAAAAAATATTTCAATAATTGTGCTTTTATTTATTTTCAAATTAAAAGTATTGAATAAAATCAACCAACCGTGATGGTAATCGTTTAGTTGCTTGACAATTTGTTAATATAAAAATATTCAAAATATTTGAAATAAAACCAACAAAAGCAATCGTCGGAAGGCAAATCGAATTCGTCCACCATACTAATGCGGTTATATCCTAAAAAATAACGAATAATTTTTTTTTTTTTTTT